CGGGGACCAGGCATCTTCATCATCATGTAAGTGTAGTGCGGGACGGCCATGAACTTGGCTAATGCCGGGCGTCCGAGTATGGCATGGTAAGCTGTCTCGAAATCGGCGACTTCGAAGCTGATATTCTCTGTGCGAAAGTTTTCCCGAGTGCCAAAGGTGACCGGGAGTGTGATCTGGCCGAGTGGAGTTGCGGATAATCCTGGAATTACTCCGTGAAAAGGCGCATTGCTTGGTTTTAGCTCGGAGCGAGGAATCTGCATATCATCCAAGGTCTTGGCGAAGAGGATATTGAGTGCGCTGCCACCGTCAATGAGGGTTCTGCGAAGCTTGACATTACGGACCACTGGGTCTAGTACCAGGGGGTACCGCCCCGGGTGGACCACTCGGTCAGGATGATCCGAGCGGTCGAACTTGATTGCAATCTCTGACCATCGAAGATATTGGGGCGTGTCGGGCTGAACAGCATTGATCTCCCGTTCGGTCAACTTTTGCTTCCTTTTAGACTCATAAGCCAGGGGGCCGCCGAAGATATGGTTAAGCTCCTTGCGGTGGTCTTGAAATCCTGCCGGGGTATCGCCGTCGTCCTTCTTCCTCGACGTGCTTTGTTCTTCGTCGGGGTTCTTCCGCGTAGACTTGGCGTATTGATCCGCGAATTGCTTGTAGACGAAGCAATCTTTGGCCACGTGGTTGGAATTAGGATGGTGCGGGCATTGGGAGTTCATGATCTTGTCGAACGTGTTGACGCGCGAACGCTGTCGAGAAGAGTGGCTGGCGGTTGCGACAAGTTCCGCAGGCTTACGCTTGCGGTCCTTATGATTGTTACTTCCACCTCCTCCCGAAGCCGGCGTATCCTTTTTTGGCTTCCAACTGGGACCCGACTGCTTTGATGCGGTGACGGCGTCTTCAGCTTTGGCGTACTCGTTGGCTTTTTCGAACATGAGCTTGACAGTCCTGGGAGGCTTACGTCCGAACTTGCCAACCAATTCCTCGTGGCGAATCCCTTTGGTGAATGCGGCGATGATGACGTCGTCGGTGATGTCAGAGATCTTGTTACGCTGTTCAGAGAATCGCCGGATGTAATCTCGAAGGGACTCTCCGGACTTCTGAATGACGTTGTAGAGATCGTATTGTGTGCCGGGACGCTCGAAGGTGCCTTGGAAGTTGGCGATGAAGTGGTCGCGTAACTCGGCCCAAGACCCAATCGTGCCACGGGGCAATCCATGGAGCCAAGATCGGGCGGAATCCGCTAAAGCCACTGGTAAATAGTTCGCCATGGCCTTGCTGTCGCCTCCTGCTGCGCGGATTGCGAGACCGTAGACGGTAAGCCACGATTCTGGGTTAGTGGTACCATCGTACTTCTCTATTCCAGTCGGCTTGAAGCCGGCTGGCCAATCCACTCGACGCAGGTCGTCGGTGAAGGCTGCTACTCCGTCAAGGTCGTCGTCGTGGCGGTCCGGCGAATGATGATAGCCTCGAGCTGCTCGGCGCTGTATGATTGTGTCGCGAAGATCGACGGGGCGGCGACGAGGTGGTGAGCGAGGCCGATCCACTCGGCGCTCCCTATGAAGGTCGGGAGGTGAGTGAACGGACCGCTCGTCGTGACCCCTGCTCCTGCGATTGGATCCTGCACCGGTGATGCTGAGGCTTGGATGACGGTAGTCATGAGATCGGAAGTGGGGGACTCGGCTGCCGGTCGGTGTGTGGATGCTTTCGGAGTTAACTGGGACCGAAGCCGCGATCATGGTCTTCGTCTGGTTCAAGATGTTGACGACGTGATCAGATTGGTTGAGCTCGTTTTCCTTGAGGAGGGTGTCGAGGAGGGTGATCGCGGCAACCGCATTCTGTTGAGGGGTGCGGAAAACCGGTGTCCCTTCAACATCTTGTTGGCCGATGAGATCACGCGCTCGGCGCCCTGCTTCCAAGGCTCGCTGTCGTCGATCCTCAGCCTCCTTCGCGGTCCGCTCACGCTCCTGCTGCTCACGCCGTAGCCGTTCTTGTTCTTGTGCTTGATGCTCCTCCTCCAGTCGGCGGCGCTCAGTCTCGCGACGTGCTTCAGTCTCCCGGGCTTGGCGCTGCTCCTCCGTCTCGTTGTCGGCCATGAAGACGCCGAAGTAGAGAGGGGTGTAGTTGTCATCTAGGCTTCCGTCGAAGTCGTCGAGATGCGGGTCGTTGTAGCGAGAGCTAAACTCGTCGTACTCCACGATTTCGGTGGGGCGCGAGTCGACGGTGGGAGAGCTGTAGTAGCCATCTAGCTGATCCGTCGAAACCGTGCCGAGTGGTTGGATGATGACGCCGATTTCCCTGAAGCTAGGCGAAATCGGTGTTGAAGCCGACTTCTGCCTAGGCCTACGGGATGGAGAAGCTGTCGTGATGGAGATGGCCGCCAAATCGTCGGGGAGCTTCATCAGGATCGGTGGGTAAGCCCCATCATCTCGATCTGGTGTCGTTGGAGAAGATGCGATCTCGCCCGAGTGGTTTGAAGCCGACTCGGTTGAGATGGTCTTGAAGTAGCTTTCAGCCGCGTTTGGGAGTCCAAACGGGACCGAAATCCGATTCTCTCCCGACTGGTCTAATTCCGAGTCGATGAGAGAAATCTTGCCGAAGTTGTTGGTGACGAAGTCGAGGCTGCCGAACCGAAACGTCTGCCCGGGTGGGAAGACGAGGTCGTCGATGCCGGAGACGGAACCCATTGCACTGATCGGCGAAAAGCTTGACGCTACCCCTACCTGGCGCGCCAACTGTCGAAACTAGATTTCGGCAATAATAAAAGGGGGTGGCTATCAAGCTAGAAAAGTGTATGGGTTTGGAGACAAAGGATTTATACAGGTTCAGGCCTTCTTATAAAAGAAGTAATACCCTACTCCTGTCCGGGGATGAATCCGCCGAGTGTATTATTGATTGTATGATTTAGAGAAAATCAACATCTGCCCCTAGAGGCACTCGGACCCCCCTTATATATGGGAAGGAGTCCGTATTACAAAAGATAATACATATCCCTAACGGAATATGCAAACACAGACAAAATACAGTCGTAACCGACTAAGTCTCAAGGTGTTTCCTTGTTGTACAAGTTAAGAAACAAACCCGAGATACAAATAAGATATTCTATACATATTCGGTATCCTATATTCAGCCCAAATATCATCGCCGTGTAGATATGGGATATCCATAATCTCCACACGCATGGTCTCCTAGACAACAAGACCAACCAGCTTGAGCGGACAAATTGGTAAGAATAACGCACAAACAAATCAGCGGTGCACAATACCGATTCAGAAACGGATGAGAAACAAATCAGCAGTGCACAATACCGATTTCCAGAGACGGATGACGCGCCGGCACGCCGCAAGGGGCACGACAGCACCAAATCCGACGACGCCAATGGCACCGACCGGGCTGCTCCCTCTCCAAATCGGGTCGCTGCCCTCCTCAACAGCCTCCCGCGCTCATACGGCCCCTGCCAGTTTCTTGAGTCGATCTGCGCCACCATCGCCGTCACGGTGCCGGGTGCAGGAGGAGGGGCGGCCGCCGGTTTCCCCTCGCCTCCGCTCAGCACGACCTGCCGGCGAGGAGGCCGGGACCTCCCTATTGATGGATGCAGCGATGGCAGCTACATGGGTATGGTGACAGCAAATCGACGGCGAAACGATGGTGCGGCGACGGCGGGAAGACGATGCGCCGATGGTGGCCGCTCACACAAAGAGGATGACTGGAAGCGGCGGCTGTTCGCTGGGTAGCGCGAGAAGGAGCTAGAAAAGGAGAGGAGGCGGAGGGAGGAACGGTGGCGGCTGGGATTGGGTTGGGGGCGGTACCGTGGTAGGAATAGGATTAGATTTTTTTTGCAGAAACAACCCTCAATTTCTGTTTCTTAAAGCACGATCCTATTTTCCCATCTTTTGCTTCTTGGCCTAGAATATAACGATTCATTGAGTGTCTGTACATATAAACGCAGCACGTACCAAGCCAAGCTAGACACCTAAAACAAATATGAATAAAACATATGGCCTTTCTTGCAAAACTACAAGTGACGACGCGGAGACACGAGCGCTCGTGAAATCCCGCCTGTTCGCAGCATCGATGACGCGTCGGCACCCGCGGGTGGCCACGCCAGCGCAAAATCGCCGCGGCTCATGCGATTTCCAGGAGGTTTGAAGTATTCTAATTCTAATAATTCGTGAGACGGCCAGAGCACCCACGTTTTCCCTATGTCGCAAGAAAATTGCTGCTTTTTTTACCATCTAAAAATTCCAAGATTTATCTCATGATTTAACAGCTCCACGTGGACCAATCAGGAGTGGGCAAACCTGCCGGATTGAGATTGGTAGTAGATGGCTGTGCGTGTGAGCAAATTTGAAATCAGGGACACATGGCAGATTTTCAGAGGGGGTCAAATGTACAGGGTGCCACGTGGCTTAATGGGATGGGGGATCCTAGACCTTGCAATCGGTTTTAGAGATTTCAAAGTAAAAACCACTTCTCATCGGTTTACTGAAAACCGGTAAAAAGCCACGACTTTCGGTCAACGTTGTAAGAAAACCGGCTAATAAGTTTCACAAATCAAGACTTAGCAATTTCACGGAAGCTAATTTGGTTTTGGCAAAATTCCATCGGTTTAATTAACCGGTTATACCTACAATTTGGTTTTTGCGAAATTTCATCTGTTTTTTGAACCTACAATTTGGTTTTTGCGAAATTCCATCCGTTTTTTGAACCTGTTATACCTACAACTAACAACTATAGGATGACCATCTGACAGGCCATTTCTGCTCTACGTATGGCCTCATCAAAATTTCCGCTCTACTCAGATTCATGGTACTATTTAATGTATCACATCCTATTCTAAATTCGTTTTTTATGGGATGGAAGGTAGGAGTACCTGTCATTGTTAAATATTTGCAAATAGTAGCTATTAACTCTACCTTGACAAAACTGTCACTTCCAAAATTTTAGTAAGGCATCAAACCAAAACAGTCCGACAATTTCTGGTTATACTTTCAAAATATGAAATGTGGTTCTCAGATACTCTTCAACGCGAGAATTCGAAAGACAATCACATATGCACTTCGTGTTTATTCATGGACAGTGAAACAGATGATATTATTGTTCAACAATGTAAACAGATAGATGTACGTACTGTGGTAAGATTTCAGTGTTCTACGTTTTCTTTTAGAAGGGGCGTCTCAATTAGGGTCTTGCAAGCCTGCAGGGAAAACGGCCGAAACAAGTCACAGATATTTACAAAAAGTTGAATTTCACTACCCAAAATTCTCGAGGCCTCACTATGATGCTTGTGCCGATTTCCCTGAGCTGCGGCCTCTGAATCCAACCACACTGAGCTTACTACCCAGCTTGTTCAGAGCATCCCCTTTCCGACCCTCTGGTCTCGGTCGGCTCTTTGCAACCTTGGGGCTAGGGCTGCTACTCTTGCTCGGCTTAGCAGATCGCACTGGTTTTGCTTTTCCTGAAGATGTCGATTTCGACCTTGGTTGACTCCTAATTGGCGAGCGCCTTCTGGATGAAGTTGTGTCCTTGACAATCCTTGATGACTTGGTCTGCAGTGCAACTCCCCTTCTACCCTTCTGGTTTACTACCTTTAGAGCGCTTGGTCGTCCTTTGGTACTAGTGTACTGTGGGTTGACGGCCGCCCTTCTGACGTTATTAGTCGTCAGTGCCTCTAAGCTCTCGTTTTTCTTCATAGCCTCTTCTATCCGTGTTGCTAAAGTCACATCTTTCTTCGCAACAAGGCTTGTAACTTTCCCTGCAATATAATACAATATGTTAATACGCAAGTGAAAGTCTTCTTATCAAATGACAACCCAAGCCAAATTACATATTTACAAATCAATGGGAACGGTAAAACCGTAAAAATGCTGCTCATGTTTTTAACTGTCTGATCATGTCACTTCTAGATAATCATATTTCTGTATTACTGATCAGGGACTAGGGAGTACATTTCAATTCCAACTTCTACTTATCGTTTTTCTTCTAGAGTTCTGAATCATGATAAGACCTCCAATTCAGATTATTTTTGTTGTTGTTTTACTGCACGTAATGTGAAATAACTTTGAAGAATTTTCGGGGGCAAAGAGAGAAAGCATTTACTGGCAACATAATGTATTTACTGGATTGACTAAGGTCAAAAGTAATTAGAAGAGATCATATACTCCTAACATGTCCAATGCAGTATGAGAAGCGAGGTGATACTAGAAACGAAATGATTAGATGCATTCAGTATTTTGGTTTCAGAAGATTGTACCTTTGGCTCCCATGCGTGCTGTTCTTCCAGTTCTATGGAGGTAATCAATCTAAAAAGGAAAAATATACAAGAAAAAAATGCATATCAGTTTCCCTGGGGGTGGGAAAAATGATGAACAGAACAAAGGAAAAAAAAATAACACAAGAAGTCAACACGTACAGAGTTTGATGGGAAGTCAAACATGATGACATGGTCAACATCCAAGTCTAGGCCTCGAGCTGCTAGGTCAGTGCAGACCAGTGTTGGGCAATCCCCTTCTTCATTCCGGAACTTGTTCAGGTTCTCAACCCTACAGTTGATTAAAGTGAACTCAATTGACAGTTTAAACAGCTTAAGACGGAAGTTTCATCAATTATATGTTATAATTGTTTGATAAAATAAACCAGCTGGTATGCTGAAACAAACATAGTTGGACTCATGACAATTTTTTTCTGCAACTTTTATTATATCTACAGTAACGCCTAACTGAAGTAGCCATGACATAGCAACACAGACGAGATTATGCAGTTTAAGGTAATGGTTACAAAGATTTTGAACGTGCCCAATCAGATGATTATAACCACTGTGACACTTTGTAACTTCAACAGTGGGACAGTGGACTTGGGGCAGTCTGCACTATGATATCCCTCTCCATTAGTTAAAAAAAATATATGAAATGACAATAACACTTTAAGCAGTTCAAAATACCTCTCTTCAGCAGGAACTTCCCCATGGTAGTTTACAGTAGATATCTGATTTTCAGTCAGAAAATGGTCCACGGCACGACTTGAATTCAAAGTATTGCAGAACACCATAACTTTATTTCCCTTTGCTAAACTTGGCTCAAGAACCTGTGGAAATAGAAGTCCTCAGCATCTTATATGCATTTACCATATTAAGAACTAGGAAGGAACTGTGATCAACTGATTGACTTTGGAGGCCTTCAGCTACTAGACAAATTGAAGACATAAAACTTCAACCCTAGACAAATTAGACAAGGATTGTACCACCAACAAGATGTATAAACACATTTAACAGGCATTGTATGCGAACACCAATCCAGTTTAGCTTGACTGGAGACACACTTGCATGCACAGACAAAGAAGTAAGGGAAGACAGGATTTCAATAAACCTGCAGAAGAGCCTCTAGTTTGTTTTCTGAACCAGACAGTTTGATGAAGTCATGCCGTGCAGTTGCAACTCTTTTTTGAAAGGTTGTTGTCCGTAAATGAACAATACCTTCAAATTCCTCATCTATCAGCTTTTGTACTGCCTGTAGTAAACCAGTGGTCAAGAAAAGATGTTAAAAGTCTAAAATGCATGAGCAGATAATATTTCATTTTTAAAAAGGTCATAAAGTATTGAGTATCAGTACTAGATGATTTGTTTCTGAAAGGGGTGATCAAACGATTTTGACAAAAATCAAATATCTATGTTCAAATAGGTGATGCCAGAACTTTATAAGGTAGGAGTACGCCAATCTAGAAGATAATAGCATAACAAATTACAAGGTAGATATTGTTCACTTATAACTATAAGTGATGACTAATTAGCGTGATACCTTGGTCATAGTAGCAGTAACTAATACAGTTTGGAACCCCTGATCGCCAGGTTTTGCAGCACGATTCTTCAAAGGAGCAAGAAACTTCCTAATGTCTGGTCCAAAACCTTGATCAAACATCGTATCTGCCTCATCAAGGACCTGAATGGATAAAAAAACAGAATGCAAATGAGAAATTTGAGAAAAAAAAGATGTATTGCAGGATGGTAAAAGTGAACTTAAGAACAGACCAGATACTTGATATCACCATAAACCATGTTTCCATCCTTGATATGATCAAGAATCCTCCCAGGAGTCCCAACAACCATGTCTACAGGCATGTTCAGAGAATCTTCCTGGGGCCTTATACGGCTGCCTCCACTAACCATTGTTGACCGAAAACGTGCGTGATGGCTTATGGACTTTGCGACACGGAAGACCTGCAATTTCATAATACAGCTACTTAGATATCATCATTTTTCCAGAATCTGGATCACATGAGCAACGGCAAGCTACCTAAATATCGTCATTCCAAAGATATCATGGAAGTAAGGCTAACCTGCTCAGTCAGCTCCCTTGTGGGGCAGAGAACTACTGCTCTTGGCCTCCTTGGTTTCATTGACATTCCCAACATTGCTTCATCACGACGCAGTAGCTACACAAATAAAAGAGCTGTCATGGCTATTGAATCAAACCTTTTGATTAGCAGGTACACCATTATTTATAGGTAGTAATCGGTATGTATTCTCAATTTCAATCTGAAAGAAAAAAATCAGTTTTAAATCCACCATATAATCCAAAATTTACCCACTAAATCATATGGCCAATGTGCTACACAACACATTGTATTGAACTTACCGACTTCTGAAACTAGACTCTCTGCTGTGAGTTCTATATGCTAAGTTCTGTCACCTCAATTATGAACCCGTAACATATTTACATTCAGCGCACAATGAAAAATAAAGTACTGATTATCTCATATATGGAACAAAATGTACTAAGATCAGCAGCCTAAGGCCCAAATGTGCTCTTTACACCACAGCTGTACGCAAAATTAGACAACATTAGTACAAACGCAGATGCATATGCTCCATTGATTCCAGGAACTGAAGCAGCATACCTGAACAAGCGGGAGCAGGTAGGCGAGCGTCTTCCCGGAACCGGTGTGCGAGCCAAGCACAACACTGGTGCCAGCCAGCACGGCGGGCACACCAACGCACTGGATCTCGGTGGGCTTGGAGATACCCATCTCCCCGAGCGCGGCCATCACCTCCTCCCCGAGCCCGAGCTCCTCGAAACTATCCACCACCTCGACCCTCCTCTTCTGCTGCAGCTCCTGCGCGCCACCGCCGCCGCCGCCCCTCCCCTTCTCCCGCTGCGCCGGCCTCGGGGTAGCAGCGGGCACGCCCTTGAGGTGGCGCTGCCGGAGGCGCTCGAGGAGGAGCTCGTGGCGGGACGGGGCCTCCCTCGCCGTGGTCTCGGGCTCGGTCGGCGCGGTGACGGCGGATGCCCCCGCCGCCGTGGTGGTGGTCGTGGTGGTAGCGAGCGCGGCGCGGAGGAGGCGGAGGCGGAGGAGAGGGGACGGGCGGGTCAGCATGAGGCACCGCCCGGCGGCGCCGGCCATCGCCATGGGAGGAGGAGGGCGAGGGTTTAGAGGTGGCGGGTTTTGTGATGGGGAGGAGGAATGGGGTCGAAGGGGAGGAGGGGATGTTCGCGGATAAGAGGAGAGGAGTGGAGGTGTTGGGGAAGGAGGATGGAGGAGGGTGGGGTGCGTCGAGATTCGTGCAGATCTATATCATGCGGATTTGTGGGCTAGGGAAAATGCGAGGCCTAGAACTTTCGGCCCAGCACTAACGATGGAAACGGGCCAATCAGCTTTGGACCAAATTGGAATGGCCCGATATCTGCGTTTGAGAGTTGAACAAAAGAAAAAAGAAAAATCTTTTTTTTACGTGCACGCTTCTCGAACCGTTAAACGGTATATTTTTTAAAAAAGATTTCTATAGAATGATTGTTTTAAAAAAATTATATTAATCTGTTTTTTGAGTTTAAAATAATTAATACTTTAAGTACGCACTAATAGCTTAGGGTTTATGCTGTGATTGTCCCCTCGAAAAGATTTGATCCAAAAGATCAAGATATATTAAACTATTTGTCACTTTATTTGCCACATTTTGTTCAATAATTTGTTATCAGTACCTACATATCATAGACGCATATAAATCCTCGTATATCAGTGGTAAAATTGTAAATGTCAAATCTAAAAGTGGTAAATAGTTAGATGCCTCTAAAAAGTCAGTGGAGCTCCGTTTCTATTTACTGCGGGCATTGCAGTAAACTTATCGCTGTTTTATGCAAGCAATTGGTGAACAAAATTCAATCCAATCAAGAATCAACTCCGATACAACTAGAATTTACTGGTTTACAACACACCGATAAACAGATGCCTGAATCACAAAGAAGAAGAAGAAGAGAACTGAATTTAGTACTACGAGAATTGGAGCTCTGCTCCATCACACACGAATTGAAGCACACTTACCAGCACAACGAATTGAAAAGCATGGAAGCTCAGTTCGATGTCGATCAGCTCAGTTCTTGACATGGACGGAAAATCCGCCGAGCGAGACGACGATCAGGAAAGGGACGACGGCGGCGCACAGGAGCCGCTTCCCGACGACGCGGCGGCCCGGGCAATCCCCGGCCATCCACATCGCGGCCCACACCTCCGCCACGCCGGCGGCGAACGCGCCGCCGAGGCCAACATAGTAACCCATCCCGCCGCCGCGGGCGAGGACCGTCCCGGCCGGGGGGCTCCCGTACACGGCCGCCGCGGCGGCCATCGCGCCGGTGAGGACGCCGGCCGCGCCGAGAGCGCGCGGGAGCCTCATCAACGCATTGTCCGCCGCGTCGCCGTCGTCGCCTCTACCGGCGCCGCTCGCCTGCGCGGCTAGGGCCAGATTGCTCACGTCGAGGACGACGTCGTCGCTGTCGATGCGGAGGGCGGCGGTGGCCATTGCCTACAGCTCGCTACTTGGAGAGTCGAATGCTCGATCGATGATCCAATGGCGTGTGAGTGTGATGGAGAGATTGGAGAGGAGAGGGGCGCGGGAATGGGCGAGATTTTATACGCAGGCGACGCGGCCTGGCTGGCTCGACCATTCGGGCTTTCGGGCTCGCGGGCTCGCGGGCTCTCGGCTGCCTGCAGCAAAGAGACAACGTGTAGCGTGGTCAGAAGAAGGCTGGACTGGACTACTGGAGTTGCTCTGCTCTTGCTCTCTTTTTGACTTTAGCGCCTTCTCCTCTCTGTTTTGACGTGTCAGAATCTCAATACGCTGTTTTATAAAATTATAAAATCCCCAACATGTAAATTACACGATCACATCTGAATGGTGGATCTCTGATTCAAGCCTCCCATCGTTTAACTTTGCTTATCGCTGCCAAAATTTAAATTTTAAAATTTATTTTAAGTTAATTTCTTCATATTGAAGCCATAATGTGCCTGTAAGAAACAAATTTTTAGGCAAAGGCAAATTTTGTTTGTAGGGTTGTTTGGTTTGACCCATTAAAAATTTAACGATGCAAATTTTAGTAGGGTAGTAATCCAAACCGGCAATATTCAAACTAAATTTTATACCTTTTTTTTTACTTTAAGGGGGGGACTAACTTCTTCATAGAGTTAAAAAAAATCACAATAGCAGTACAAAATAGTACATATATTGCATTTGTACATCATTACAGTTTATAACTCCTTGGGAATGTAGATTTTTTTATAGGAATTAGTTTAACCCTAAAAATATTCTAAAATTCATCCTTTTGAATTAGGATGTTTCCCCTTTCAAAATTGGTTGACTAGTTAAAAAACGCTGGATATGAGAGAAATGACCTTCATATTAAATTTTCTAAAGAGCGGAGCGAGGCTCGAATCTGGGTCGGCTAGCACCGCACCCGGAAGATCCCTACGGTTTGTTTGGCAACTTGAGGGAAGATGATTAGGAGTTTAGATGAGGTAGTAATTGATAGTGGGATTAACGCGAGAATTTAATTTTTAATCCAGATTCTCATTTGGTAGAGGTGGTAGAAATTGATAGGAAGTTTAGTTGGAGACAAGATCTTAGATGAAAACGAATGGTTGAAATTTTTTTATGTAAAGTATAAGAGGAACTCCCTCCCAATTACCACCCTGTACCAAGGGATTAAAAAGGAGAGAGTTCCTCCTTCAATCTTCATCTCCATTCCATATCAAAACTCTGATATCTCTCAACCAAATAGAACAATTAAGAACATAATCAACAATATCCCTAAATAAAGTCCAATTCTAAAATTGAGGTTTATTTTGTGAAAAATTTGCTCCAACATAACCAAACAATATCCCTAAATAAAACCTAATTCTAAATTGGATTCCCCTTTTTCTCCTTTCTTGCTCTAGTCGAGACACACTCTCACTCCAAAAAGAACAGGGTGACATGTAGAGAGATTGGGCGTGTGGGAGAGGATGGGCGGAGCAATATTTTTGTTTATGTATTTGTTGGTAGTTAGGAGTGGGTCACTTTTTATTATTGAGAGTTAATTTAAGATATTTGTTGGAGATAAAAATATGTTTACACCTTAAAATCAAACTAGATATTATGCAAAACAGAATTTTAAAATCAAATTAAGGAGTCCAAAAAACAAAACTTTATAGGTAGATTGTTGGGTATCTATTGGGTATGCTCTAATAGTCATGTTATTCTGAACTCCCAATCCCTCATCAAAAAATCTACCCAAACAAACTGAGGATATTTAGTATTTTGCCACTTTATAAACACATGGTTTAATTATTGGGTATTTATCATCCAGGCTCATTTAACAATGTCACAGCGTAACCATATAATCAAAGTTGTCGTCAGTCTTTGAGAGGAAAACCGTTAAACCATCATATTTTTTCTCGCTCCATTTCAGCAGGAGCAGCAACCGGAGGTTGCCATGGCGGACGATGTTGTGGCCTCGCCGGAGGAGTCGCTAACAGCGCTGCTACTCGAGCCGGCGGCGAGCCCTCGCGACGACCCGTCGGTGGAGGTGCGGCTCTACCGGCGTGGCGCCGGCCCGGTCGCCGTCTTCCGGTCGGCCCTGGTGGGCCCCCGCCGCGACCGCCTCCAGGTCCGGGCCATCCAGGCGGAGCACGGCCTCCGGGCGCTCTTCGCCTTCAAGCCCGAGTCCTCCCTCCGCGGCATCCGGATCCGGCCCGGCCCGGCCGCCGCCGCCGGCTGCTCCGCCGTGCCCTTCCGCGACGGCGCCGTCATCGCCCTCGACGGCGAGCCCAAGGTAGCACAGCCGCTCGCCTCCCCCTTTCTAACTTAACTTATTTGAAAAATTTATAAAAAAAATTAAAAAAATTAGTCACATATTTATAATATTTATGTTTTATTATCTAATACTCCCTCCGTCCCAGAATATAAGGGATTTTGAGTTTTTACTTGCAACGTTTGACTACTCGTCTTATTCAATATTTTGAAATTATTATTTATTTTATTTGTGACTTACTTTATTATCCACAGTACTTTAAGCACAACTTTTCGTTTTTTATATTTGCAAAAAAATTTGAATAAGACGAGTGGTCAAGCGTTACAAGCAAAAACTCAAAAATCCCTTATATTGTGGGACGGAGGGAGTAACAAACAAAATACGCTGATCATTAAAGTTTTTCAAATAAGAATGACGGTGAAATCGTTGAACATAAACAGTATAATTATTCTCCTTCTGGGACATTTAACTTCATTTAATTATTCCTCTTTTCTTCTGTTTCTTGCGGCGGCGGCGTAGGGGTCGTGGACGAAGCCGGCGGCGGTGATCGTCGCCGGCGTGCTCGTGCCGGCGGTGATGGTGGCGGTGGCGGTGAAGGGGTGCCGGAGCCGCTGCGGTCGTCGAGGGTGGTCAACGCCATCTTCCCGCCGTGGATCCTCGCCAGCGCCGTCATCATCTACGCTCGCATCAGGACGCGCCCAAGGGCGGCTGCTCCATGACCCATCACCAATTGCTTGCTCATCATCATCACCATCGACAACTTCTCCCAGTTTATTTTTTCCTTTGTCCAGAAATTTGTACGAAAAGAAATGAACCACAATGTAATGGTATAGTGAACACTGAACAAGGATTGCACTGGACAACTTTCCATGAAATTTATCCATTTTCATTTTAGCTGAAAGTGCCACAATCAATACAAGGAACACCAGGATACATTACCAATTTACCACATGTACCACAACAAGCTGCTGCTAAACCTGAGTTTTTGCAGCTCATCGTAGAGAGAAAATTCAGCATTTTCAGAACAGAACCAAATATGAGTACAATTAGTGATCTCAGGCAAAACTTGACCCACATCATCAATAGTATCAGTGAACTGAGACATACTAGGAGAGTATGTTTAGTCACTATCGTCATCTTCCTCCCGCTCTTCATGCTGGGCGACAACCTTTTCGATGAACTTCCTGCGAACGCCTTCTATGACATTGTCCCGGGATGAATCACCGCCGCTCTGCCCATCATTCAGGACTGGCTCTGACTGGCAAAGGGCCAATGCAACAGCTGAAATAGAGTGGTGATTTAGTACAAGGAGATGTAGATAATTCATAACGTTGAAGTAACTCCTGGATTCTTGTTTTGTTCAAAGCAAACATCGGAAAAATGTTGCGCCAAACGAGTAATAAACATTCATGTCATTTCAAGAAAATGCTATTTTTTATGGTGACAACAGTGTATAACTATGAACTTAGGTCGTTAACATGCAAAGCTTGGCAGACATCAACCAGCTATTTGCCAACATGAAACAAATTAAAAAAAAAAGGGGGGGACTGGATGTCGATGTCGACACAATTGTAAATGTCTTCATTTTTATTTGTCAATGATTTTGCTTGTATTAAGGCATCTAACAGTAGTATCCAGGAAAAAAAAATGTGAATGGCATCATGTGACTGGATGATGGAAATGCTAAAATAGACATACAAAATCTACTGGTCTGCATATATAACTGGTGAAACTTAAAACTGATTAATGCCAAATTAGATATTGGATGCTTATTTTGTGGCATAACTTACACTCAGGTGTGCATCTTTTTCCACCAAACTTCTGCAGACCGACATAAGTCCCTTTAACAGCACTGTTATTGTACACAAGTATAGTAGGGACATTTCGATCTGGGTAGTTGGGAATGCAGTCTGTAGAGATGATTTTAACAAACTTAGTTGCTGGGTATCTTGTAGCCAATTCATCCAGACAAGTCTGAAGCAACCCACATTCTGGTATTCTGCAATGAAATTCATAGAAGTCTTAGATAGTGAACACCTCAATTACTAATGAATTCAGATGACCTTTTGTAAAACTTATAAGCAACCTATGGAAACAGTTAAAAGCATATACAATGGAAGGACTATTAACATAATACATGGAAGTTTCAGGATCTAGAATGAAGAGTCTAAGATAAAGGGCTAATCGGCTATACAGCTCAACATCTTCCAGCAAAAAGGGAATCCAAATAAGGTGTAAAGTGAGAATGTCATGTTCATCTTCCAGCGAAAAGGGAATCCAAGTAAGGTGTAAAGTGAGAATGCCATGTTCAGAAATCACATGTATCCATGGTCAAACTATCCTTGAAGCTATTTCATCAATGTCAAATATCTAGCTATGAAACAGATTCTGGTTTCAAATAACAATAAAATTGTGCTTATCCTACATCTAGAAGAATCATATTTCAAGCTACCTTAGAAACTTTTCCTATGAATTCAGTTCCATGAGCTATGTGCTCAACGGCTCACGCACATATATATGAAATAAAGAGTACTGCTCTTTTGGGGGACATATAATCATTAACACAAGAGCAATTCCATGTGCAATGTGCTCAACTTCATATATATGTGTGTTGAGCACATAGCTCATATATAAGATCAATGGTTAGATCAATGGTTTTTGGGTTAGATCAATGGTTGAGCACATAGCTCATATATATGTGTGCTCAACGGCTCACACACAACTTCATATATATGTACCCAAAAAAGCACTATTAGATCAATGGTTATAATTGTTTCACCACGGAATATTCAACTTTACTCAATGTTTTGTTTAACAAGTTCCTTTTGGTCACTTGCCAATTTTTCTAGATCATACAGTACAATCTATTGATCACAATTCACATTGAATAACTAGGTCAAGCCATTCTGTACATGCCCATGCATGAACTTACTGTACTAATATTATCTTAGATTAATTTATCCTGAAACTTATAGTCATATGTGCTTGGATAATATCTACAATTCTAAAACATCCATACCAGATCCGCAGCAACGCGTGGATGGTACACCGTACACCTAATAAGCATTAAGGCAAGAGCAAATAACGCATTGATAATAGAATTCTACTATACCCATCCTTGTAGAGGAAGACCACAACCCAGACATCGGATGGGGCCTGGGAGACCTCTCGGACAAAATCAGAGCCAGTGATAGGCACAATAGAGCCGAATTTCGCGGCCTTTGCTGCCTCCCTGAGCTCTGCAAGCCTCATCCTCCTGCAATCAACAAATCGATAAGCTTCCAGCCTTACCAAAACCATTGCATATAGCATCAAATCCAGATCAAAGAATCAGAAACAGATCAAGTATTCAGATTGCTAAGAAAAAAATACGTGAATTATCCCAGTTAGAACATGCTCTAAGGATCAAATCATAGGGAGAAAAAAAAAAGAAACACCCCACTACGCACCAACTATTGACGGGAAGAACAGGACGGCATCATGGCTCATGGATCATCATCAACCAGGAAAGGGGACAAGATCAAGGCCTAGGGACTAGGAGAGGCGATACCTATACTGCTCGAGGAAGCGGTCGTCGTCGAGGTCGTCCTCGAGATCCTCCAGCTCGTCGGGCTCCCGCTCGTCGAGCCATTCCTTGGACTTGGGCTGCTCGTCGGCGTCGACCTTGGGCGCGTACGCCGGCGGCTTGAACGGCTCCGGCTTCGGCGGCAGGTTCCCCAGGCGTCGCTGGATGTCGTCCCACTCCGTGCTCGCCCCCTCCACGTCCTTGTACACGAAGTGGTAGTCCGCCATGGCCGCCGCCGAGAGATCGAGAGAGAGACGCAGCCGCCGCGAGATGGGAAAGACGAGAAGAGAAGAGAAAAGAGAGGAGGCGAGAAAGAAGAAGAAGAAAAAAACGAAGAGCTCCACTGTCACGTGGGTCCCCACAACGTGGAATACTTTGTCTCACTGAGCGGTGGGCCCGGGCTGTCAGTGAGGGGAAGGCTGGGAATCTATAGGAGACGCGGCGCGACGAGCATCCCCTTTCTTCCTTTCTCTTTCCCTCCTCGCCGCGCCGCCTCCGCAGCAGCAGAGCCTCTCGAAATTTTGGGCCTCGCCGCGGAGCGCGAAGAGAGATCGAGGGCGGCGGAGCTGCGCGTGGGTAGCAAGCGGCGGCGGAGGCGGAGGCGGCGGAGATGACGGACGGCCATCTCTTCAACAACATCCTCCTCGGCGGCCGCGCCGGCTCGGTGGGATTTCCTTTCCCCTCCCTGCGCTGGCTCGATAGTCCAGGGTTTCGTTCTGATTAGCCGTAGGGGCGTGGGGGATTTTTGACCTGTAGCTCGTGGAGTTGTGGGAGCGTGTTTTTTCGGGTTTTAGGGTTCGTGCGGTGCATTTTAAGCCAGATTTTAGCTTGTTTTTTTTTTGGGCTGCGCTTCTCTACTGGATGTTGGTTTGAAACGAGTGCTTTGCTGTAGGTGTTTGATACTTTGATTTGTTCGGTTTCGTGATTTGGCGTGGGTATATCTGGTTTATGCCGGGAGTTTTGGGTGAAATGTTGATGCTAGGGGTTTGGGAGTTATGGACCTAGGGTTTCTCCCTGATGCGGTAGATGCAGTAAATGGAGCTTTGAAGCTAAACTGGAAAATAGAATGGAATCCTCTGAGCTTTGAAGCTAAAATGGAAAATGGATTGGAATCCTCTGTGAGTTTCGAAGCTAAACTGGAAAATAGATTGGAATCCTCTGTGAGTTTTGAAGCTAAACTAGAAAATTGATTGGAGTCCTCTGAGTTTGAAGCTAAACTGGAAAATAGATTGGAATCCTTTGTTCATTTTGCGTAGCTTGGCACCTTTGCTGTACTTTAGAAGTTTCATACTGCCAGTTAATGTCTTCCTTCCATTTATGATGCTAAAACATGTACTCCTGGATGTTATTGAATAGCTTTTGATCAATTTATATTGCTTGCTAACACTGAGACACTTACTACACAGAATCCTGGCCAGTTTAAAGTGTATTCTGGAGGTCTTGCATGGAAGAGACAGGGTGGAGGAAAGACCATTGAGATTGAGAAATCTGATTTAACGTCGGTGACATGGATGAAAGTCCCCAGGGCCTATCAGCTTGGAGTCAGGACCAAAGATGGCCTGTTTTACAAGTTTATTGGCTTCCGTGAACAGGTTGCTGTTTCATTTTCTTAGTGATGATCTTATGGGTTGGCTTCCATTAACTTGTTGTAATGGTTTCTGTCTAGTGTGCTATTTTTTGCACTTTCAGTAGCAAACTGCATTGCAACTTTCCATCTTTTACATCGGTGGCGTTTTAAATTTTCTTAGGTTCTATTCTCATATATGTATTGCAACGTTAGAACTTTCTGTATGTTTCGGTCCATCGTAGCAATGGCAACCTTCCGTAATTTAAAATGCAGTATTCATATGTGGGATGGAACCTTGTTATTGCAGGGTGCGGAATAGCTATTTTATACTGGTGGTGTAGAGTAGTTTTTCTATGATTTTTATGAAGAGGCTACTGGAAGCGGGATAAATCTTTGCAATGGGATTATCTGTATACATCATTTAAATTTAAAAAATATCCTGACTGTACCATTTTCTTCTACTTGATTGATAAAGAAAACCCCTCCCGTACTCCCAAAGAAAGGATCCCCACTGGTTTAGGTTTGCAGAACCCAGGAAACTATAACAAGCAGTCATTTCTAAATATTTGTAGCAGTATTAGTCCCCATCAAGATCAGTGCTTTCCCTTCTTAGTTTGCTGCATTGCTTTCATGGTATCTGTACGCATATCTATGTAATATGGCAGAAATCATGATCATTGTATATTTGAACCCTGTGAACATATAAAGAAACTGTTTACACACTAACGCTTATGCAAGATATACACCAGGTGCATTAAGCATGTCATCACAGTTTGAGGTATCTGAAATTTGTGTTGAGCACTATATCACTAGAGATGGAAGACTTTGAATTTCCTTTTTCCATAGGAAAATGGGATTAGTGCATCATTATTCACTGATGGAATGGAACTACCATCAGGCATGTCCAAAAATCATCTGCTTGAACTTGCCAGTATAGAATTGACGATTAGCGATGTTAATACATTTGCCTCCTGTTGCAGTCTAATAAAAATTTTCACCATGAATTTTCTTTCTATAGGATGTAAGCAGTCTGACCAATTTCATGCAAAAGAATATGGGCCTCTCACCAGATGAAAAACAGCTTTCTGTTAGTGGTCAAAACTGGGGAGGGATCGATATAAATGGTAAGCTCTGTGGCCTTTTATATTCTATTACATTATTAAGTTTGGTTTATGTTTTTAGTCACACTCTCCATTGTAGGAAATATGCTTACCTTTATGGTTGGTTCAAAGCAAGCATTTGAAGTGTCGCTGGCAGATGTCTCACAAACACAAATGCAAGGCAAAACAGATGTTCTCTTAGAGTTTCATGTTGATGATACTACTGGGGGCAATGAGGTTTGTTGTTCATCTAGTGACGTTTTCTACATTTTCATTATTATTTTTATGATGTTTTCACTTAATTATCCATCACATCACCACTATAAGCCTTGAGCTCAAATTCAATTCTCTGTTATTGTAGAAAGATTCGCTTATGGATTTAAGCTTTCATGTACCTACTTCAAATACTCAGTTTCTTGGAGATGAGAATCGCACTGCAGCCCAGGTAACTATCGGAGTTATGTGATATAAAAACATTGACATGCTATCTACTACTGAAATATTCCTTATCTGTATAGGTCCTATGGGAAACAATAATGGGTGTTGCTGATGTTGATTCTTCTGAAGAGGCAGTTGTCACCTTTGAAGGAATTGCTATTCTTACACCAAGGTGGAGCATATGGACCATTTATCTCATTATGAACTCAAATTGACTTTGTTATATAAAAAAGAAGAACCAAGATGGTTCTTTCATGATTATCTCCTTATTGTTTTCTCCGATAACCTAACATATTTCTTCCGCAACGCAGAGGACGTTATAGTGTTGAGCTTCATCTGTCATTTTTGCGTCTCCAAGGACAAGCTAATGATTTTAAAATCCAATATAGCAGCATTGTTCGCCTTTTTCTTTTGCCAAAGGTCCTTTTATTTCTTCTGCCTTTTTAATGTGTGTTGTACTTTGATGGTGTCTATTTGTTTTATATAAGATGTTTGGACTAATTGTATTTACAATTGTGCTTTGCAGTCAAACAACCCTCATACATTTGTGGTTGTCACTCTTGATCCACCAATCCGTAAAGGACAAACACTGTATCCTCACATTGTCATTCAGGTGTTGTACTGCTTTTATTTTGCTCACGTTGGTAATATTTTATAGTTAGTTTTGGCTATTTGGTTACAGAGTTTGTATTGCTAGAAACTATAAATAATTGTTTCCCTTTATTCTCTAAACAGTTTGAGACAGAGGCAGTAGTTGAAAGAAATCTGGCATTAACTAAAGAGGTTCTGGCTGAAAAATACAAGGACAGGCTGGAGGAATCTTACAAGGTGAAGTATTTCTTATTAGGTTATTATTACTTTAAATGATACCCTTTTGTTGTTATTGATTCACTTGAGTTGGAATTTGGTACTGCTTATAAAATGACATCATAGTTTGCACAGAAAAACAAATGTAAATCCCAGGTCAAAATAGCTCTGCTTTTGTATTGTTTCAGTCATTTAGCATTGCTCTTTTTTGTGGTGAACTGTTCCCTCGATTTGTCAATTCAGTTCCCATAACTTGCTGTCCCGAGTAGGCAAGTATTCATTTTTCATACACAAATTTTAGTATTTGCATTTATGTTGATGCAATGCTCAAATTGGAACTCTTGGAAGTACAATAACATACTTTATGGTTTTACGGTATTAGCTAAATCTGTCATCCATTGAGGTATGATGTTACTAATAATATAATAGTTCTACCACCTCTTTTATTGAATACATAATCTTGTTGTTATAGCTTTCAGAAATTTATCCCTTATACATGTCTTCGCATGACTTCAAGTCAACTTTCTATCATTTTTCCTTAATCAGAGGGTATTTCCAAGGTTATTTACTACTTTGGACTAGAGTAGCATATGCCATCCTAATTCCTAACAATAGAACAGTGAGTGGCCAATGAAAGATTTGAATAAGGGTAATATCATCTTATGTGGACGTGGCTTGGTTATCACGAAAAATCGTATGGTGACATCTATTTAGGAATGAAGGGAGTTTGTTCTTGTTAGGTCATCAGGCCTCGAGGGAAGACTTAGGAATTAAGGACTGCCTGATCATTTTATGGCAGGTCTATTTATACATTGATGTTTGCCTTTTGAACTGGAGAGCAATTGCTACTTAACGTTTATTTTGTGTAAAATTCTTTTTGACTAATAATTAACTGGCTGAGTATTATATTTATCTGTAGGGTCTGATACATGAGGTATTCACCAAAGTTCTTCGTGGTCTATCTGGTGCTAAAGTTACAAGGCCAGGTTCTTTCAGAAGTTGCCAAGATGGGTATGCAGTTAAATCGTCTCTCAAAGCTGAAGATGGACTGTTGTATCCACTTGAAAAGGGCTTCTTCTTTCTGCCAAAGCCTCCCACCCTCATTCTACATGAAGAGGTATCCTTTTTTGTTGTGATTTAAAGTTATTCTATTTCATTCATGCGCTGCTGTGAGTTTGTTGAATTTGTTGAAATACTCACGTCCATCCATGGCAATTGCTACTTATGCCCACTTACTGCATACATATAATATGCAGATTGAGTTTGTTGAATTTGAACGTCATGGTGCTGGGGGTGCCAGTATTTCATCACACTATTTCGACCTCCTAGTCAAGCTGAAAAATGATCAAGAACATCTCTTCAGAAATATTCAAAGGAGTGAATACCATAACCTCTTCAACTTTATCAAGTATGTGGCTTTTTATTGACTTTGTTATCATGTTTTCTATATTTATACAACTTGTTGGTGATTTTTCTTATTTTTTGGCAAATATTTTAAGTGGAAAACACTTGAAAATAATGAACCTTGGAGATGGTCAAGGCGCAACTGGTGGGGTTACAGCTGTTCTACGAGACACTGATGATGATGCTGTTGATCCACATCTAGAACGAATTAAAAATCAGGCTGGGGATGAGGAAAGTGATGAAGAGGTATGGCAGTCTTTATTTGGCATTATCACTCAAATGCTGACCTTTAAGCCTTGTTACTGAGTCTCAACATATACTTGTGTTCTTTATTGCTCGACTTTAGGATGAAGATTTTGTTGCGGATAAGGATGATAGTGGATCACCTACTGATGATTCTGGTGGGGAGGATTCAGATGCTAGTGAAAGTGGGGGTGAAAAAGAGGTAGATACATATTTAAAATTCGCTGCAGCAAGCCTGAAATATGAAGCTACTGTGCTAATGAACTGTTGGTTTTTTCCCTTCCCAGAAATTATCCAAAAAGGAAGCTAGTAGTTCAAAGCCACCTGTGAAGAGGAAGCCTAAGGGAAGGGATGAAGAAGGTTCAGACAAAAGAAAGCCGAAGAAGAAAAAGGATCCTAATGCCCCCAAAAGAGCAATGACACCATTCATGTACTTCTCAATGGCTGAGCGAGGAGTAAGTTTCTGATGATCCTCAGTTTTTTAGAGTGAGAATATACTAAGTGAAGTTATTTTGAGGAACAGCCGAACAACTCAGTATGCTATTTAGTAGGGAGATATGATCGAACCAGTTATAAATTTAACTGTCAAGCAAAAGATTTCATTTACACTCACTATATTCTGTATGTGTTGATACGAAACTTAGGGAAGGGAGGGACAAACAACTCTTACCTTTATTTATTGAACTATCTCAGAACAGATGCCAGAGGACACATGTTGAACAAAAGCTTACTTTTTTATTATGTTTCTGCAGAATATGAAGAATAACAATCCTGATTTGCCTACAACCGAGATTGCAAAGAAGCTCGGGGAGATGTGGCAAAAGATGACAGGTAATATTCAGAACCTCTTTCTCATCTAATATGTCCCCTGTTGTATAGCAGAGCACTGTTTTCACGTTTTAGCCCCCAACTAATTCTTTCATGTTTTCTATTGCATTCTTAAATACTAGTACATGACATGTGTGATGATAATCTCCTTTGCACCACGTCTTGAGCAGGCGAAGAGAAGCAACCTTACATCCAACAGTCTCAAGTCGACAAGAAACGATACGAGAAGGAATCTGCTGTCTACCGTGGCGCAGCCGCCATGGACGTGGACTCTGGCTCCGGCGGCAACGAGTCTGACTAGAGCCACACACTGACACTTTGGCGGTTGGCGTAATGAAGAAATTTGTTAATCCCTGGAACCACTGATGCAGTTTGGGCACTGAAATCTTCTCAGCTATTAACCTTGCATTGCGCTGGATGATCCGATCCATGTGTTTGCGTACGATGGTATCGGCTGTTCTCGCCGTGGGGTGACTCGATCACAAACCGTTACTGTCTGTGTACGCCGACACGAGCGATATCCCTCGGAAGCATCGTGCTGTTAAGAAGTGCTTAATTTGGCGTAGCATCTATCTCGAATGCAAGACTCTGTTAGCCTATGAGCTTTTGTAAAACAGGAAGAATGATTTGTATAACAAAAATTTACCATGGATTGGTTATGTTATAACATAGTGATTTAAGAACTAAGAGCATGCCCAACAGATTACCTATTCTATTCCCTATCCTTAAATTAAAGAAATTTTAACCAAAATTCTCATCCAACAAATTCCCTAACCAACATCCCAATAATCCAGGTTCCCATATCCGTATATGTCGTTACTCATTTGCAGGGAACCATTTTTTCTTCCCAATCGCGGTCGTCGCTGCCTCGTGCGCGTAGGGGGAAAATTGTTCCCGCGCTCCTTTTCTCGCCCTCCTCGCTAGTCGCCAGCAACAAAATTCCTCTTCCTCCTAGGCGTCGGCAGCGGCTTTCCAGGCGGCGAAGCAACGGCCAACCCCTTCCTCGCAGGTGTCGTCGACTGAGTTCCACGCGGAGATGCAGCGGTCGTCCCCTTCCTCTCGGTCGCAGAGGTCGGCGTCGGTGTTGCTCCAGGCAGCGATGCAGCGGACATGCCCTTCCTCTCAGGCGCAGGCGCCGGCGTTGCTCCAAGCGGCGATGCAGCCGCCGTCCTCTTCCTCGCAGGCGTCGGCGTCGGCGTTGTTCCAGGGGGCGCCCGCACGTCGACCACCGCCTCCTCGATTTGGGGCCGACGGCCCTCTGCGCCCCGCACCGCCGCCTCGCCGTCGTCTCGGTCTGCCTCATCCTCAACCTCCCTACTCCGGTGTGCAGGCGGCAGAGTCCATGGAGGGATATGCTCCATGGGAGACACTGAATCCCCTCTCACACGAAGCTCCTGGCGTCGATTTCTCCACAGCTTATTCTGTGAGTGATGAAGAATTTCTCCATAGGAGCAATTTCGGTAAGGCTGTCCCTGATTCGTTCGATGTTTAGATTAATTTTCAGAGTGTTGCCTGATCTGATGTCCATTCTGTGACTGACTTCCCCGGCTAGAAATTCAGGAATTCAGGATTCAGAACACTTAGAGGAAAATGTCAGAAAGTCTGAAATTTGTACTGTATTGAATGAAAGTCTGAAATATGCAGGATATGCTCTAAATTTGAAAGTCTGAACACTTAGAGGAAATCAGGTTTCAGAACATTTAGTAATGAAGGATATGCTCTAAATGTGTGGTATGCTCTGAAAGTCTGAAATATGCTGTGTCAAATATTTTTGCTATGTCAAATGTACTCCCAAAGTCTGAAATATGCTCTGAAAGTCTGAAATATTTTTCTATCATCACAGCATCTTTGAAATATGCTCTGAATTTTTGCATTAAGATAATGCTGTTAGATAATTTGACAGATAATGCAACAAGATGCAATCCATAGTCTATTTTTCAAGATAAAAGAACCACCTGCTTTTGCCAATCAGACTTTCAGTTTCATGAAAGCTGCAACTGCAGAATTCTAAGTACAACAGCATAGGTTCAGTAGGATTATAATAACTTGTACAGTTCTTAGCTCTAAATACAACAGCTGCTTAATTGAAGTGATCATCTGCATTTAGTATGCCTCACTTTTTAGATTAGCAGATGAACAATCACATGCTTGTGCCAAATATTGAAAATAGTGTCTGAAAGATGCAATTTCAGTATGTATGTGCCACTGACATATATACTAACAAGGTTCACTGTCACTGAAAGATGAACAATCACTTACTGTCACTGACATTTATTCTTCTTTAGTTCCCTTCTCTGATGCCATCATAGACAGTATGTGCTCTGAAATATTGAGAAACTATTTGCTCTGAATTTTTGCTATGCTCTGAAAGTCTGAAACCGAAAGCATACAAGTCTGTTTTTTTTTCCTCAAGTACATGCTAACAAAGTTCCCTGATTAATTACTGCATGACCTATAACAGATTCACCATGCTTTGGAACTTCATCATCGTCGAACTCTTCGTGCACTATATCAACCGCCGAAGAAATAAATTCTTCGTCACCATCCGATGAAAACTCATCCAATAGCATTTGAAGGAGGGTGCTTCGACGACTCATCTCCTCTTTTTGTTTGCCACGGGGTTGGAGCGTTTACCACAAGGATGAAGTGCAATGGAGGGAACTGATGGCAGGAATAGAACAATAATCAATCTGCAAAATTAATTATCAGATCAAACTTAATATTTTCCAATAATATATATCCACATATCAAAATACAGACATAGAGATTGACTACGGCACAAGAGATCAATGGGATTTGCTAAGGATTACCTCTTGATGACACCAATTGCTACGTCATCTCCTTGGTGTTCCGTTTTTTAACAAATCGCAGCAGTCAGGACACTGGTTGACTTGCCGGTGATGATGGCGCTAGGTCACGGCGGTGCAGGTCCGGGGAGGAAGAAGTCGATCGGCGCTGGTGCGGGAGGGAGAAGACGTGCACAAGTACCGAACTGGGCCCCACCTTGCTTATGTGGCAAACTAACAAATGATAGGGAATTGATTTTTGGCATCTCTTGGAGGAGGGGGTCATTGTTGGGCCCAATTTTTATTTTGTTATTCCTAATTCAGATTTTTCGGGAACCAAATACTGGGTGATTGTTGGGCATGCTCTAACTTGTCTAGCTCGAAACCTGATTAAGAGGCACATCATGGTAGGAAAACTGTTAGACAAATCTTGAGTTTCAATCATAATCTAATTTGATTCAATCCAATTTAGTCCCGATATTGAAGTGCAAATCGGTTATGCTCCGTACACGGATAACTGAAGGTTAGTCCATTTGAGAGATTCAACCTTAATTTTAATTAATTTATGTTAATTGAAGTTACCACACCTATTTACAATAAAATGATCTCAAAAAAGTCATTTTACTACTGAAGCACGGTCTACACCAAATTACAAGGAACTCAGCGAGAAATTACAAAGAACTCGAGAATATACGATGGAGAAATTCCAAAGAACTAAAGAGATGAGGATTTTAGTAATTGATAGAGAGCTATTACCCCTCTGTTAAACTAGTTACGCGATGATGAAAAATCATAAATGAGTATAAATCAACAATAGAGACGAATACACATAATAATTCAATTATAAGAGTAAATAATGTCAAAGAAAATTCTAAGAGTAAATTTCTGAGAACTGTAATTTTGTCGACCAAACTATGAGTATGCTACAACTTTGTCGACCAAACTATGAATCTGCTACAACTTCAGTGACCGATTTTAAATTAGTACAATAATAGCATTTAAAATTATTATACTGCTTCAAATGATAGTGTTTGAAAAAAACACTGTTAGTCCGACTAGAGCAAGGCTAATAGTATAACCAATTACTATCTCTAAATCATCTATAGCCAATTTAATAGCTCATTCATACAATAGTTATCTATAAACCATAAATATACGATCCCACCTCTTATACACACACAACGTATTGGAATTCGTGCTGCAGCTAGCTATAAATCTGTAGCCTGCTTTTCTTCTCTCCCTTCTCTTCTCTTCTCTTCTCTTCCACACATGTGCTTACGACTTGTTGCTATTGTACCCACTCTTATGCTTGCGCAGGGGCCCACGTGACAGGTTGAGCAGGGCGAGGAAGGCAGAACCACGCTAACAATGCCACGTCAGCGGGCAGGAAACTACATCGAACAATGATGTTCTCTTCTTGCTACTCCGTACTACTCTCTCATATTATAAGTTTGATTTTTTCTTACTTAAATTTTTTTAGTTTGTTATATTTTTAGAAAAATTAGCAATATTTACGATAACAAACTAGTTTCATTAAACTTAATCTGTGCTATTATAAAAATTGAATATGTTTTTGTTAGTACTTTGGTTGGTTATTCGTGTTTGAGTCGGTTTTTAAGTTCGTTCACTTCTAAAAATATACTGATATGTGTTTGAGTTTGTTTGCTTTTGGAAATATCTAAGAGTTTTTTTTTAAAAAAAACTTGCATGCTAACTTGGGATGAGAGTCAAACTACTAATTACAACTCATATTTTCTAAAAAAATCCGAGAAAATTCCCACGATGATTTTCACAGTAGCTAAACCATATAACAGTAATAATAAGACTAAAATAGCTTTCACCCATTGCGATGCACATGTATTTTTCTAGTATTGAATATATTTTGATGTATTGAAAATGTTAATACCTTTTGCTACAAGCTTAATCAATTTTTTTAAAAAGTAACTAATAAAAAATTCAAATGACTTATAACATAAAACATAAACAGAGGAGGGAGTATCTTCTTATTTTCCAAGACTTCTCTTACATCAAGTTGATCAATCTTGTGTTTGAATCAAATTAGTTTCCGGTTGTTAAGCATTAATTTTAACAATTTAACCATTTGCAAAAACTATTTTTACAAATAAACCGCTGCCAAAACTTATTTCAAAAATGACCTTTTTGCTTAACGCCAAATCGTGTGGCGCTAAATTTAGACACCTCAGCGCCAAATAACATGGCGTTGAATATACGTTGGCACGCTGACTTAGTCTACCATATGATATATAACTCTAATTAAGAGATATAATACAATAATTAATAAACCTACACTTAAATCCTACTAAAACACACGTAAAGACAGGCCCCCACCAGAGTCAAATTTCAGCAAGTCGTTAAGCCTAGCCTATAAAAACCCCGAACACACGTTACGGCCGCGCCCGTGTGTCTCTCCCCCCACCATCTTCTCGCCCTCGACTCCTCGTCGATCTCCTCGCCTTCAATTCGTCGCGAGTTCGCTCGGCGGCGGCGGCGGCCGCCTCGCCGTGTCTCGATCTCCGGCGGGCGCACCCTGAACAGCTCGTGAGAATCCATCGGGTACTCTCGAGAGCTTCTCTTTCTTCAGATCTAGAAGTTTTTTTTTTCTCTCTCTCTTGCCTTAAACCCTAGCTTTGCTTCGTTTTCGTCTCTAGGATGATCTGGAAGCTTTTTTTTTACTAACGTTGGTTGCTTTTGTTCTAACTGAATCTAGCAGCAGCAGCAATGGCGCTAGTGCAGGTGGGTATGGGGTTGGGCCGCGTCGTCCTCCTCGTCGGCGCCGGTGCGTAAACCTGATCCGATCGATCGATCTCTTCCTCCGATCCGATGAGTCTCGAGTTTTGATTTATTAGTTTTTTGAATCCGCTGTTTGTTTCGATCGATCGTGCAGGCATGGCCGGCTCGGTCGTCATCCGCGACGGCCGCTTCGCCGACTTCGTCGCGGGGCTCCAGGTGCGTGTGCGATTCCGGCTTAGTTTCGCGACGTTGATCCGGCGGGGGATCTGATCGATTCGCCGTTGGTTTAATTTGCAGGAGGCTCTGCGCGACAACGACGGCGGCGGAAGCGGCAGCGGCGGCGGCGTCATCGATCAAATCGAAGAAGCCGTCAAGAAGGTAGTGGCTTGTACGTTTGCGTCTGTGATATCTATGCCTCTCCGTGGTGTTTAAGGCTTTAAGCTGATCGCGCGATGCGGATCATAGTGCCCGTGCGAATTAAATTCAATCAATCTTGGGGGGGGGGGGGGGGGGGCGAATGTGCGATCGATTGATTAATTGCTTGCTTGGTTGCAAACCTCATGTTTTAATTAATGCGTTTGTAATCGAATTCGTTAACTGGATGCTGACATGCCAAGGCATTCGATTGCGTTGCTCGTCCACTTCAATTATGGGAACAACTTATCTAATTTGGCACTTTGTTCGTTTGTTCAGGCGACTATGGAGGTTAATCAGATGATAAGTCAACCAGTTACTGTCATTACTGTAGATCCTGCAGGTAATAATGGAGGTCTGTAGTTCCCCTACTTTGATTGTTTTTTTTTCTTTTTGAACTTAAATAATCATCCGACCTATTCTTAAAAAATAATATATAATATATAAACCCATGCTAAATCATTATTTCTTAAACATATATACCGAACAAGGTATTCCCCATGTCTCAAAATATAAATATTTTTAGAATAGTGCTAAGTCAAATCATGTTTGACTATTAATAGATAAAATATAAAAAAGAACAATAAGTAAGAATAGTGTTATTAGATTTATCATTAAATAAACTATCATAATCTATCATAATGTACAACTTTTTTATTTAAAATATCTTATTTTTTAAATATTTTTAGTCAAAAGTAGTATCTCAAATGCTTATATTTTGGGACGGATGGGGTAATTAACTACTAAGTACTTATTTGCCCCCAACTGCTATTATCATAAATTATCTCAAAGCCAAATTAAGTTATCTTTTTAATTTATGTCCTCCAAAACATATAACAGAGATAAAATGTTTGTACTATCATCTTCTAGCCTCTGGGCTTGGAGCCTTGGATAGTTGGATGTCTTGTCAGTTCGTACAAAATATTTGCTAACACTGAGTGAATTAGTTTCTTTAAAAAAAGATAGAACAGTGAATTAGTTTCTTTAAAAACATGGACATGAATTTGTTCAATGAAATCTTTTGGGGGGATGCCTGTTCAACTTCTGTTTAATCTGCACCTACATGATTGCAAACCTCTTTTTTTTTTCCTATTTGCAGTTGTGACAACGTTGATAGCACCTGCTGCAGCTGCTGGGGCGTTGACCTATGGTTACATGCGCTGGAAAGTACGTTTTTTTCTCTCTAATTGATGACTCTTATATGCTTCGATGATAATAATGTTAAAAACATGGTTTGGATCTTTCAGTTTTCCAACATTATATGCCTCACCGTTGCATTCACGTGGCAATTATTTCAATGTTCATGCGTAATATTGATATTCAGCTATGGTGATCTACTGATCTGATGTTATGTTATTCATGGAGTTCCTTGTTGTTAAATATGCAAGTCCCGTATCATTTCAAAACCTAGGTTATTGTCTTGCTAACATGTACATTTCAAAAGATTGATGTCTTTTGAAACATGTGTTTTTATTTGTACTTTCGAAACATGTGTTTTCTATATTATGCTCTCAAGGTTGTCTGCATAGAAGTTCTTGATTGATTCGATATTTTTAACTTTCTAATTTATTTGGTTTACATAGATATATAACCATATGTTTATACTTTGTACCTGCAACCCTTCAGGGCATATCTATTGCTAGTCTGATGTATGTCACCAAGCAAAATATGGCTAATGCTGTTGCAAGCATGACCAAGCATTTGGAACAAGTGCAGAGCTCTCTTGCAGTAAGTCATCATTTTTCCATCTGAGATAAAATAGTTTCTCTTTTTTCCGCATAAATGAGTAGTAACACTGTTTTTAGGCCATGGTATCGTGTCTTATGATTGTTATTATTTTGAGATATATAACATTTCCCCCAAAAAATATGTAGGCTGCTAAAAGGCACTTAACCCAGCGCATTCAACATTTGGATGATAAGTTGGATCAGCAGAAACAGATTTCCGGGCAAATAAAAGAGGAGGTACACACTTGTTTTAAATTGCAGCAATGGTTTTATAGGACTTGGCCTCCAATGCACCGTTAAAAGGCTCTTTTTCCGTGATTGATTTATAATTAACTAATTTTTGTGTTCTACATGATCTCAATCTCCTTTTCTATATTCAAGGTTACTGGTGCACGATTGAAACTCCAGGATATTGGTTCCGAAATGCAAAAGATCAAACAAGTGGCTCATGGCCTGGTAAGTTTATTTTGTAATATTTTGATCCGTATATTGGATGCTGGTTTTCTAGTGTGTGGTCTTCTATTGTGTTAACATAAATTTTAATGTTGGTTCTTCAGGGTGGAAAGTTGGATTCAATTGAAGCAAAACAGGTAGCCTCCTTCACCTAATTTTCTTCCATCTGTCCACCTTTTTAGATTGTTTCATTTTACTGTCAAGAGTTGTGAAGGTAGTCTCTGATTACTCTGTTTTGCTATCTTCAGAGCAACTTTTGGCATAATTTCTGTTTTCTTGAATTGAGCATACCCAAATTTAGTAACTATTATTCCTAGAATCACACATTCTTGACACCATTAACAGTTTATATGCTGAAACAAACCAAATGATCTTAAAGAATACCAAGATTTTAATGTGGTATTTTTGGGATTTTAAGCCCTACAATATATATAAGCATATTCTCAGTTTATCAGCATGTGAATGACATATAATATCCTTTATTTTCATTCCAAAAAAACGAAACTTGTTCTTCGAGAAACAAAAACCGAAAAGTGTCTTGTGTCATGTGGATATATGCCCCTGTGCCCCAAATACTTGACTTGATATTACTAGTTAAATGTTTCTATTGGCATATTGCTTGTTCTATCTACTTTAGGATTACATTATCTCCCCCATTTAATGATTTCAATTTCAAATAAATATGATTGACACTGATGGTATTCTATCTGCAGAACTATTCATTGGCCGGTGTGATGTACCTCGTCGAATTCATAGAGCAAAACGGTGGGAGGTTGCCTCGTAGCGTGGTAAGTCTTAAGCACACCATACAACAATCCACGCATTACGCATTACGGATTAAAAACCTGTAGCTGTTCATACGACAAATTCATGTACCTAAGGATTTTATTTCCTTTTTTGTACCATATGTATGTATCGGTGTAACGTACGCTTGTGTTCAACTGGTGATGCAGGAACACTTGCAACGAACTGCCAGGCTCTCTGGAATTACTGGAGACCAAAAGCAGCTGCAGGTCAGTGATGCTCTCTCTCACTCTCGCCTTGACATTTTCATGGCAACAGCGTTGCATTCCACTACAGTACTAGCTACTCATTGCTAAATTTTTACTACATAAAAATGATTTTCAGAATTGTGCGAGACTGACTTGGAGGCTTTTGTTTTGTCAATTTTTCAGGGGCTCGGTCAGTTGCTGGCGATCGAGTCGGCGACTCCTGTAGGAAGTGGACTTCACTGTACCTCGGCACGGTTATTCAAGGCAGTGGCATGATGGTCTCTCCTGTAAATCGACGGGTCTAGAATTTTGTATAGGAGTTTAGGAGCTAACATGCGTAGTGCCACTATAGTTCGCTGAATATATCGTGCACGTAGGAGTGAGTTAGGACTAGGGAGGATATGTGTATTTTTTTTTCTCCCTTAATTTTATCTTTTTTGAGTCTTTTGAGTGTAAGACGATGTGCTATGTTACTATAGTTTGGTTGAGTGTCATCTGTTGAATGCGAATTTTGAAAGGTGTGTTCTACTCCCTCCATCGCAAAATATAAACATTTTTAACATAGTATCAAATTAAATATTTTTAACTTTGACCATTAATAGCAAAAAGAATAAAAAAGATCATTGTTCCTAGATTTATCATTAAACAAACTATCATAATATGCAACACTTTTTATTTAAAACATCTCACTTTTATAGATATTGTTGATCAAAGTAGTATCTCGGAGACCACGTCAAGATAAAAAATACTTATATTTTGAGACGGAAAGAGTACTTAGGCACTCTAGCCCTGCATTTAAACCATGTGTTTGTGTCTTTGTTAATCCTTTCGTGAACACGCCTGATAAACCATAGTCTTTTCACATATAGTTACAGTGACTAGACGACTACTTCCATAGATTGCAGGAACCAGGGGCAGATCCAGAAACAAAAAATTGGAGGCTTAATTATATAGTTTATTATTCATGATAAAAAAATTAAAGGGGGTGCTCCGAGGAGTATTCATGGGTCTTGTGAGATCCGCTCCTGGAACCAATAATCATCACGAACTCTCATTTGTTGCCGAGACATGGTGTTACGCATTCATGGTGAGAGAAAGGAGAGAGAGAGAAGAGAAAGCTCCTCACCGTCCTAACTGCACCATCATCAGGAGCTCGTTAACTAGTCTCCCTATCGTGGAGCTCGTCGACGCCATGATCATCGCATCACTCGATCCACCGACGAGCTCTCGATTCGCCACCTAGCTAAAAGCCTAAAACTCGATCCGTTGCCAAGGCCCCGATCCAACATCTACCAAAGAAAGGAGAGGGGAGCGACGGAGACGAGGCAAGGGGGTCGGGCAAAAGAGAAAGAAGAGATTGGGTGAAGACCATATTGGGAGCGGGCAGAGGAGCTATTTATAGTTCTTACTACTAGATTTAGGACGTGTTTAGTGTAAAATTTTGGACTTATATTTGACTTGATAAAGTATGAGGATTGAAATGAAAAAAATATTAGAAACTAACCCCGCGTTAGAAGCTGAATCGTGTGGTTTCTGTTTATAATGTTGGTTTGCACCATTTATAAATGCTAGAAGTCAAATCACCAAACCTCATTGACATGAGAACATACTCAATCATGCACAATTTGATGGAAACATATAACAAGTCAAACAAGTCCATTTTACAAGAAAGGGCCCTTTTTTTTCACTATCGTTATGTATCACACTGCAGTTTTCTTCCCACTGTGTAACCTCAGTGCACCCAGGTAAAGAAACTTACTGAAAATTCAGTAAGTTGGCAATCACTTTGGCCCAGCTTTCCCATACGAATCACGCAGGGTAACCGTCCTGTTGAACACAATGTTCTCAGGTGTCGAGTCTGTGTCCACTGCGAAGTAGCCTGGAATTACAGTAAAACAGGATGATCAGTTGCACATCACGAAACAGGTTGGGTAACAACAATTGTTTGTAGAGGTTGCTGAGATTACCTAGCCGCTCGAACTGGAACTTGTCACCAAGAACCGCAGTCGCAAGCGATGGCACGGCGTAGGCACCCTTGATCACCTCTTTTGAGTTCGGGTTAAGATCACCCAGCCAATCCTCCAGTTCAGCAGGATTCTAAATGGTGCACAGGAAAGAGAATCCATAGGAATTATGTCACTAAGGTGAATTTCAAGTGCAACGCACATTTGTAATAACGGAAAGAATGGCAAGTGGTGAAATACCTCAGAGAGGAATAATTTATCAAATAATCTTACTTCCACCTTAAGTGGTTCAACTCCAGGTGCTGGCTGAGCAACCCAGTGCAGAACACCCTATACGAATTGCAAGTTAGGCATCCAGGTTTCCATTTTGTTAAAAAAAAAATGTTGTCCAAATAGCAGAATCTTATCTGGGTTAAAAAGATTGCAATGAACAAATACCTTAGGTTTAGTAGTCTTTGAAGGGTCATATTCAGCTCGAATTTCAATGATGTCATCTGGATTGTCACCATAAACAACCTCGGTACATTTAATGGGGAATGCATATCTGTAATTAATTAGACAATTACCGTGTTACTGTAAATATGGAGTAAGTGAACTATCAACTGTCAAATAATATCTTTCTCAGCGAAAAGCAGCAGTTTTCTGATTCAATTACCTTAGCAGGGCAGATTTACCAGGAGCTAGCCCGTAGTAATCTTTCGAGTCCTTTAGACGAAAATCAGTTTTTTCGATGTAAACGATTCTTGAGAAAGGAACCTGTAGAACATGTAATTCAATATGAAGGTAAATTGTGTTCAGAGAGACAATGAGCCTACAATTGTTTCATAAGCAAGTTGATCCATAGCATCATCATTTATTTTTCGTATATCATATAGTGAGTATGATAGACACCTTGTAGTAGGATGAAGCATCGTCTGCAGGAGCATCAGGCCACATTTTTCCATCAAGGTCTATGACTTTTTCATCCTCCAAGTTAGTTATTACAACCTAAATTTAACAAAGGGAGGATCCATGAGCATGTTAAGAACTTTACTGAGTTGATGTGGTTTTGGAGCAGGGACTGAAGACCAAACCTTTAGAGGATTCAACACAACCATGGCACGGGAAGCTGTTTTATTAAGCTCTTCTCTGATATGATATTCAAGACGGTCAACCCGAATTAAGCTATTGTCACTGCATGTAAGAAAATGGCAAGTCAAATCAGTAGCAGAATAATGATGTCCACAAAAAAAAAAAGTGATTTCGCATAGACCAAAGCATACTTTATGAAACTCATTCCTTAAGACCTAAAGAACAAACAATTCAATTTACATCAAAAGAACAACAAACAATTCAAGTATCCCTACCTTCTTGTTATTCCAATTCCACAAATAAACGAATTAATTGCAGTTGATGACACTCCACGTCGCCGCAATCCTGCTAGTGTCAACAAACGAGGGTCATCCCACCCATCTACCCACTTTTCTGTCACAAGTCGATTCAACTGCAACAGAACAAAAACCATGAGTGTTCTTAAACCATAGATGAAGCAGTGTAACATTTATCTTGTCAAAAGATTCAGTAACCACCTTTCTTTTAGACATCACAGTATTCGATATGTTTAGCCTCGAATACTCCCAAACATATGGCTGGTACAGGCCCAAGGCAACAAGTAGCCAGTAGTATGACGGGCGACGTATGTCAAACTCGAGCGTGCACAGCTAATGAATAACCACACTTAGTCCACATCATGCCATAATGCAACTAACTCAATCTAATTGAGAAAAGGCAAAGTACCGAATGTGTAATGTTCTCAAGAGAATCCACCATGCAGTGAGCATAGTCATAGCTTGGATAGATGCACCACTTATCACCAGCATGTGGATGAGGAGTGAACTGTATGGTCATCAGAGTGTGAGTTGTGTATTTATCAGGAAATAGACAAGCAAAACACAATTCAGTTGCATTGCTTACTTTTATTCTATATGCTATTAAATCAGACATATTCTTGTTATCATTCTGCATATCTTGTTTCATTCGGAGTGTTGCTGCACCTTCAGCAATCAACCCACGTCTCATGTCTTCAAATAGTTTCAGTGATTCTTCAATGGGTCTATCCCTCCATGGACTATTCATTTTCTTTTCCCTGTATTCCTTGATTTCTTCTGCGGTCTGGCAAGCATATACCAGTCAGCATGTGCACATTTTATTTCTCAAGGGCATGATGTAACAGCTCCACACAACTTCAATTACTGTTGGATCGAAATAATAAAAAAGAGAGCTGGAGGAAACCTGGTGATCCACATAGGCTAGCCCTTTTCGTATTAACTCAACTGCATGCTCATATAAAGCCTGGAAATAATCACTTGTATATGTAACTTTGTAGGGCTCCCATCCCATCCAGTGTACGATTTCCTGAATGTGGTCAATATACTCTTTCTTTTCGGCTTCTGGATTTGTGTCATCAAACCTGTTGTTAAGATATATATAGACATTATCAGTACACATGTTCCCATGAAAGCAAATGAACTGAAGCAGCTAAGGATTTTAAAGTTCTCTGAACAAATTAAGATCAAGCAAAAATCACGAAATCTCAATTAATAATGGAAATGCAGAGCAGAATTATATAGATCCAGCATAACCTGATACATGCAGTATAGATTTATAGGTCTGCCATATTTTAGTACATGGTCTATACAGAATGAGTATACAAAATAAAATTTGCAAAATGGAATAAAACTCTTCTAATGCTTAGAACATTGGCACAAAACTGCCCTTAAAGCAGCATCAAACAGGCCATGAAAGAATATAAAAATGGTAAGTTATCAGGACAAAACTGTTCAAGATTTCCAAGTCAAAATCTTATTACCTAAGGTAACAATGACCATTTCTCTCTTTCGCCAGTCCAAAATCAATAAACATAGCCTGCATAAGATGAAGCATATAAGCATAATCTTCAAAAATGATTTAAGTGGTATGTGCGAAAATACAATTAACGAAAGCAAATATTGAAACCTTGGCATGACCAATATGAAGATATCCATTAGGTTCTGGTGGGAAACGGGTCATCACTTTTCCACCGGTTGCCTTAAGGTGTTTCTCTAAAATCTCCTTACTGTTATGCGCTCTCCATATGTTCCCATCACTATAGAATATTTCTGTATGAACCTGATCATTTCAAGACCACCTAAGTTAATTTCTCATAAATGCATAAAAAAGAACAATTGATCGAGGTACTTACAAGAACAATAACCATAATTACTAAGTATCAAATAACAGTATAGCGTGAAGAATCAGTGGCAGAGCTAGCAGCTAGAACCCATGGGGTCAATCCCATTAAGTTCAAACGAATTTCATGAGAATTGGACAAATTCAAATGGTGATTTCGAAAGGCTGATCAGCTAACCCCACAGCTTGCATGTAGCTCGCCACTGTGAAGAATATGATCACAACACTAATAGACATTTACACAGTTATGGTACCTTAAAATTTTCCTCTGGCTGAGGAAATATAGAGTATGGATTCAATTCCTCCTCAGATGGCGGTGCAGCAGTGACTACTGCAGC